AAACAAACACCATGGAACTAAACTAGTGAGATTGCTAAATGAGCATGATAATGTTTCGAATTGTGGGCACTACTGAGCCTACTCACTATATGGTGGCATACTAGATATGTGTCTTGGATTTAATACATCATTACGATGCATGACTGTCATAGTTGATGATCTTCTATCTGATCACTTCCCAAGACTAAACAAATGTCAATCTTGGATCACATCTCCAGCAATCAGGAGCTAATACAGAAGGAGGAAACTTATTCTCAAAACCAGAACACAGAGACAACTTTATTAACCACTTGGATCAATGGTATAAGAATTACGAGCCCATTGGCACACAAAAATTTAATGATGATTTAATTACCACTATTTAGAGTGTTCTCACAGATCAAGTGGCAGGAATAGGAAACAAAGGACCCTCCACTATAAATAACAATAAAAACCATGTAAATCTATAATGATCACAGCTGCGCAATCTACACATGCAGCTAGGAGGATTGGTAAGCATACCGTGAATGTAGAACCCAGACCTGTCAGAACGTTCCAAGCTGCACTAACAATGAAGGAATAGAAAGGAAGAACTTAGGCAACAGGAATGGGAACAGTTTGTTAGTGGATTAAATAGGTCCACCCTTTGAGTTTGGCTTGGAAAGTATAAATAAAATAACCAGGAAAAAGACTGGCAATGTTGCTCATACCCTTTCCTCTTGGAAAAAGCAAATGACCTCATAAATGACTGGTCCAAACATCCAGGCATGAAAACCTTCCATATCTATTAGAAAAAATTTAGAGGACTTCTGAAGAAATGTTGAAACTGATTTATTTTATGAGCCAAAATATTGTGAGAGTGATTGCTCTTTAACGAGTATGAATTAGATAATGCATTAACCAAGGTCGATCACTGCTCCTGGAGGGATGGTATAACTATGATATTCTCAGAACTCTAAGGCACGTGCCTGATAACCCTCTGTTGGCACTGTATAATCTCAGTTACATTGAGGGCGTTCTTCCTACTTCCTGGACCAATAGTCTCATTGTGTCTATCCCTAAGCCCCAACAGCCTGATACATTTAGTCCGATCTCCTTAACTAGTTGTCTTTGTAAAAACTTTTGAAAGAATGATGCTTAACAGACTGTATACAGAATCAGACATCAACTTTCCCCTTACCTCTATGGGTTCATGAAAGGTAAAAGTGTGCAGAACTGTATTTCCACCTTTCTCACTGCACACCTCTACTAGTTTCACCACTTTTCTTGATCTAAATTCTGCATTTGATATTGCGAACGAACCGTTATACTACATGAACTAGCCAAAATGATTATTGGTGGTAGCTTACTCTGTGGATTATAGGATACCTGTCAAATAGAGTATCCTCTGTCCTTTACCAAGGCTTCGAAATGATTCTAAAGAATGTCTTTAGGTACACCGCAGGAGGAGTTCTTTAGTCCCATGCTATTTAATATTCTGATTAATGCTCTCCTAATATGCTCTACCTGCCTCACCTAAACATTAGCTATTAAGCTATGCTGTGATATCATGATCCATACAACAGGGCATAAGAAGATGAATATCATTCCTTAATGAAGTTCAAGCAATTGTAATCGACTAGCCTCATAAATCTTCCTCTTAAAACAAAGATATTAACAAGCAAAACGACATCCCCCACCTATTAATTTGCAGGGTAAATCATTAGCTACGTTAAACTTAAGATATCTGGTGTAGATGTACCCTTAAACAAATCCACTATACCCAACTGAACAAGAAAGTAAAGCTAGGCTAAATGCTCTCAAGCTGTTGCTGGCTACAATCCCAACTATGGTGCTATGTGAGAATCGTGAGAATGATGTCATAGCCTATGTTAGGTCCTAATTGATTATGCGCTCCCATGTTGATATTAGCTAGAGAAAGTTCTCTCCGACCCTTGGAGGTTAATGCAAAATGATAGCTCTCAGGATTTTATTTTTGCTGTCCAGATCTACAAAGTTCTTAACATGAGGAAGGAGCTTGGTATTTCTAGTATCAGTGATAGATTGTTGAAATTAACACTGTACTCGGTATTAGAATGTTGAGAAACAAACCAGACACTGTCACAGTGAATCTTACCAAGTGTCTAGAGGTAAATACACACATATCTAAATGGATTGTGAAAACGTGCAATTGCATTAAGTTTTATAACCTGCATGAACTGTATCACTGTAGGCAACAAGAGCATTTCACCCCCCCAAATGGAAGATGTGTTTCATTTAATATCACATACCTACAAGTCCCTCCCAAGAAGCTCATTGCTAGTAATCCCTTCCTTAAATCTCTTGTTAGAGCAACTGCTCAAGAAGAAATTTCTCACCTAGCTGGTAGTAATAAGTTATCGCAAGTTATATACACTGATGGATCTAAACAGGAGTCTTCTGGCAGGGCTGCATCTGCTCTTGTTGCCACCTCCCTAGTTAAGAACGATAATAAATTTGTTGAGTTAGGCATAAGAATTAACAACTGGGCGTCTACACTGCAAACTGAATTGTTTGCAATCCTAATGGCGCTAAAGCTAACCTATGACACTGAGCTTGACTCTGTCATCATTACTGATTACTAATAGGTATCAGTACGTCACCATTAAAGACACAGCATCAGCAACACGGCCACTTGATACTGGAGTTCCGCAGGGAAGTGTCCTTGGTCCCCTGCTCTTCCTCATATACATCAATGACCTTCCAAACGTATCCCAACACCTGAAACCCATTCTCTTTGCTGATGACACGACTTATGTCATCTCTCACCCTAATCTTGCCACCCTCAACACCATTGTGAATGAGGAGCTGATTAAAATATCGACTTGGATGACAGCCAATAAACTTACGCTTAACACTGGCAAAACCTACTATATTATATTTGGTAGCAGAGCAGGAGATGCACAAATTAACATTAAGATTGACAACACTCTAATTACCAGAAATAATGGGGGAAAATTCCTAGGCTTATACCTTGACAAACAACCTGAATTTCAGCACCCATATCCAGCTATAGCCAAAAAAGTATCCAAAACGGTTGGGATCCTCTCCAAGATACGATACTACGTGCCGCAAAATGCCCTTCTCACACTATACCACTCATTTATCCATACCTCACCTATGCTATTTGTGCTTGGGGATCAACTGCAGCAACACACCTAAAGCCAATAATAACCCAACAAAAAGCTGCAGTAAGAATAATCACTAAATCCCATCCCTGGCAACACACCCCCCCACTCTTCATAGATCTAAACTTACTCCCAGTTCAGTACATCCACACTTACTACTGTGCAATCTATATCTACAGGGCCTTAAATCTAAATATCAACCTTGACCTAAAACGCTTTCTTGATAGTTGTGACAGAACCCACAGGCAAAAACACCAGACACAAACATCTCTACGACATTCCCCGTGTCCGACTAAACCTTTACAAAAATTCAATGTATGTCAAAGGCCCTAAAATCTGGAATACCCTACCTGAGAACTCTTGAACTGCAGACACATTCATCACCTTCAAAACTACCATTAGAAAACATCTTATCTCCCTGATACACCCCGTCAACTAACTACACGAATACCACCTGGTGGTTCACACTTACACTCACTCACTCATTTGACCATAAACAGAAATATTAATCTCAGTCTTAAAATAATGAATCCTGTGATACTCCAATACTGAAACTATGTACTGTGCCAAAACAAAAGCATTCACATTGCTAAACTCACAAACTAGTATTTAGTCACTTAGCCATAATACCAACTTACCTCATAATTTGTAATATTTTACAATTAAGAATAAAACTAAGTATGCCCGAAATGCCTAGCCATGCTAAGCGTTCTAGTGGTACACTCTGTAATCACAATTTTACTACATGTAAACCAAACAATAACCAAATTTCTGTAAACTCAGCATTGTAATCCTTATAGAGAATAAACTTTGAATTGAATTGAATTGAATATGTCATCATTGAAGGCTCTTGACTCATATAATGACTCCAACAACATGCTCATTGGAGAAGCCAGGTATAGATACTCAAAAATTAGGGACAAAGGAATTAATGTACAATTGCTATGGATCCCATCACACATTGGATTACTCCTTCATGATAAAGTTGATATGTTAGCCAAGAAGAGTACCCAGAAGGAGAATGTAGAATATAACTTTGGTATAACTGTGTCTAGCATTAGGAATAATATTAGGAGAGAAGTAAAAAATAAAAATGATTGTTATAGGAATGCAGTTAGAAGCCTGAGTAGATCTATAACCCACTATGATAACATGAACGTAGATAAGTATGTTTATAGAGCAACTTGCAATGTGAACAGACTGACTGATGTTATAGTGGCCAGGCTTAGGCTTGGTTACAAGTACTTCTGGCAGTTTGGGAGACACACAGATGATGATCAAACTAAATGTAAATTATGTGATCAGGCATATGGTCACTGTCTTGAACACTGTTCTTAATTGTCCACTCATTGAGGAATACAGAGACAGACAGTATAATAACCTATGTGACATGTCAAGATATCTTATTAATGAAAATAAGATACCAGATATACTAAGCAAATTTCCTAAATTTGCTTGTAACAGATAAGTGAACTATAGATATGTAGATATAAATCCATATGTATTCTTGTTAACCCTTTGGGGCCTAGTTCCTAGGCCTTTTGTGTATCCATATGCTCTCGCGCTACCGTCCACAGGATGGATATGGGGTGCACAATAAACTAGCCACTTCGGTGGCAAAATCTAAAAAAAAAAAAAAATCATGAAACTGATTTCATGTATTCTCTCAGAAATACTGGATATACCTAATTATTTCCCCCATATTAAATATTTTGGTGGTTAAAGGGTAACCTAGAATAATTTTTAGAGCTTAATATTGTTATTACAAAATGAAGGACTTGACCTTAGTGTTCCAGTTTCTCTTTCCTTTGGAACCTTTGTTTCCATGATAATATAATTCCCGCTTAGATGTGGACAGTATATTTTTGCTGGAGTGGCGGGAGTCAAGACTCAGTAAGACGTAAGCTGTAGTGACCCTTAACAAGCAGCAGAAGAGTCAGTGACGCAGCAACACCATGAACAACGACTTAGAAATTCACGAAGCCGAGGCGGAAAATACACCAAGTGACTCCCAGAAGCCTGACAAAATGTTCACTCTGAAGAAGTGGAATGCTGTGGCCATGTGGAGCTGGGACGTGGAGTGTGATACTTGTGCCATCTGCAGGGTGCAGGTGATGGGTATGTGCCCACTTATTGCTACTATTAGACAGATGCAACATTAATTCCTATAAATAACCCAGGAGGAATAGTAACTCATGATTAAGTAAATTTATTTAGGCACAGGTACACAAGCACAGTTATCATACATAGTGTAAATTACGTAGGATAACACAAAAAAAGTTAGACAAAGCAACAATAATAAACAATTATTTTGACATGATACATATTTGTACAAAGGAATATAATAGTTGGGTGTACATGCCAAAAGCCCCTTTTTAATGCAGATCATCTCGGGAAAACTTCAAATTAACTTAAGACTAATAAGGCAATAAGAGTTCACATGGTCATTCAATTCAATTCAATTCAAGTTTATTCTCTATAAGGGTTACAATGTGGGGTTTACAGGTTTTGGGTATTGTGTGGTTTACATGTTATAAAATACTAATTACAGAGGGGGCCACTAGGACACCTAGCATGGCTAGGCATTTCGGGCAGACTTAGATTAATTCTTAACATTAAATCCTTACAGATTATGGTATTAAGGCTAAGTGACTACATCATAATTTGTGAGTTTAGCAATGTGAATGCTTTTGTTTTGGCACAATACAAAGTGTCTATATTGGAGTATCATAGGCAAACTTATGACTAGTTAGGATTTATTATTTTAAGATTAAGATTAGTATTTCTGGGTTTATAGTCAGTGGGTGAGTGAGTGTAATTGTGAACCACCAGGTGGTTATCATGTAGTTAGTTGACGGGGTGGATCAGGGAGATAAGATGTTTTCTAATTGTAGTTTTCAAAGTGATGAATGTGTCTGCAGTTCTAGAGTTTTCAGGTAGGGGGGTCCAGATTTTGGGTCTTTTAAAATTACATTGAATTTTTGAAAGTTTAGTCAAACCCGGGGGAATGTCAAGAGATATTTGTGTCTGGTGTTATGCTGGGATCCTGTCACAACTATCAAAAAGCTTTTAAGGGTCAAGGTTAATTTTGGGAAATTTTAAAGGTCCTGTGATATAGTTTGCAGTAGTAAGTGTGAATGTTTTAACGGGGGAGAAAGTTTAGTCTATAGAGTGGGGGGGGGGGGGGGGTGTTGCAGGGATGGGATTGGTGATTATTTTTATTGTGGTTTTTTGTTGGGTTATTTTTGGGCTTTAGATGTGTTGCTGCATTTGCCCCCAACACAGATAGCATAGGGGGGTAGGATATATAAGTGATGGTAGTGTGGAAGGGCATTTGCGGTACGTTATGTATCTTGGAGAGATCCCACCGTTTTGGATATTTTTTTTTGTTATGTGTTGGATAGGGGGTGCTGAAATTTTAGGTTTTGTCGGGGTAAGGCCTAGTTTTTTGCCCTCATTATGTCTGGCAAAAAAAGTTGTCGTTTATGTTAAGTTGACAACCCCTTTGCTACCAAAACATAATTATAGGTTTTGCCTGTTAATGAATTTTATTGGCTGTTTCCAAGTCGATATTTTGAGAGCCCTCATTAAAAATGGTGTTGAGGGTGGAAAGATTAGGGTGGGAGATAAATAAGTCGTTTGTCAGCAAAAAGAAGGGGTTTCAGGTGTTGGGAAGTTTGGAAATCACTGATGTAAATGAGGAAAGCAGGGGGGCCAAGGGCACTTCCCTGCGGAACTCCGTATCAAGTGGCCGTATTGAGAGGCTTCTTTAAAAAGGTGACGTAGATACCTATTAGAAGGTAGGGGTTTTAAAAAATGCAAGGCAGGCCCCTTATACCCTATGGGCAAAAGTTTTTGGGGTAGGATGCCGTGGGCTATTGTGTCAAAAAGCTTTTTTCTTTGGGCAATAAAAATTTCCCAGGGATATTCCTTATTTTCCAATGTGTGTAAAGCGGTCTAGCATTTTTATAAATTTCATCATTATGCTTTTTTTTTTCCTGAATCCAAAATTGGCGGGGTTGAGTATGTTTTGTGCCGTTGTAAAGAATATAGTCTCTGTCACGAGTTTTCGAAGATTTTGGATGCGGTAAGTTTGATATTGGGCCCATTTGTTTAGTCTGCAGGTCACCCCTTTATGATTGGTGTAACCCTTGCGTCTTGATAGGTGGGGGAAAGTGCTACTTTCTAAGGACTTGTTAAAAAGTAATTGTATAGCATGCGAAAGGACATGGGCCCGCTTGCTTGTACCAATAATGGTTGGGACGTGAGACAGATTCCCGAGTATTTTTAAGTGGACTTTAATGGATTCGGCGGTGATTCCGTGGGGATCATTGGTACAAGATTAGAGGGATTTGGAATTCCTCTAGGTAGTCCCCGGCACGGGCAATTGGTACGTGGGATTTTTACTGGTGAAGATTAGAATCTTACGTTTGAGAAGAAGTCGTTTATCTTGTGAGCTGTATCAGTGGGATGCAGTTGGTGTTTTCATGAGGTTTAGTTCTTAGTTAGAACAATATTCCTTGTTTTTTTTTCAGTTTGTGGGTCCCAGAATCTGGGAAAGTGTTTTCCAGGTCTTTTTTATATCTCTCTTGTGTCACTGAATCTGCTGGAGTAGTACGGTTGTTTGGGCTTTTTTAATTAGTTTGAGCGAAGGAAACTGTTGAATATTGTTTGAGAATATCTTTTTGAGTATTAAGCCCTGTCTTATTGCCTATTCCATAATGGCGTTTCTTATCAATGGATTTCAGAATGCTGCAGGTAGCAAGGGCAACCAGCGTTTATTCGTGATCTGTTTCGTATTCATTGGAGTTTACAATGAATACAAGAAGAACTAAGTTATTTCTATAGGTCATTGCTATATGACTTTAATAAGTCTAAAAAGTGATGTACGTTTTCATTATTAACCTTGGCGGACACAGTGGAGATGAGAATACAGATTTTGAGAAGTAAGTATATGTTGATTATATTGGATTTAGAAAGTTGTAACATGTTCAGATTATTAAGCAAATGCATGTATAGTTTTTACATATGATAACCCAGTGAAGTCAGTTGCTGTAGCAGTTGTATTGCTGATTACCTAACCTAAGTTATCCCTGCAATTTACAAAAGAGACCATAGTTAAAATGTATAATTTTTATATATATTTTTTTTTCAACAAGTCGGCCGTCTCCAGGTAGACATCTCCCACCTTTCACCTTCACCTCACACATAATCACTGTCTTTGCAGAGGCACCCAGATACAACAGTTTAGAAGCATGTATTAAGATATATAACATACCCCTCCAAACTGCCAGTATCCTAAACCCCTCCTTTACAGACAATGTCTACCTGGATGATGACTGACAAACTTACTCTCAACATTGACAAAACCTACTTCATTCAGTTTGGTAACAGAGCTACAGATATCCCTCTTAACATAATGATAAACGGATCACCTGTCACAAAGCTCACAGAGGGAAAATTCTTAGGAATCCACCTTGATAATAGACTCAAATTTCAAACACACGTACAACAAATTTCCAAGAAAATTTCTAAGACCGTAGGCATACTATCGAAGATACGGTACTTTGTTCCACAGTCAGCCCTCCTGGCCCTATATCACTCACTTATTAACCCGTATCTCACCTATGGGAATTTTTGTGCATGGGGCTCAACAACAATAATCCATCTAGACCATTAAGTACCCAACAAAGGCTTCAGTCAGAATAACAAATTCCCAGTACAGGCAGCACACTCAACCAATATTCCAAAATCTAAACTACTCACCCATACAAAAACATCCATAACTTATTATTGTACCTACTACATACATAGAACACTTAACTCGGATATAAAAATCCTCCCCTCCAAAACTCCTCCTTACGAACCTCAACAGAACACACGGACCCATAACACAAGGCACAGATCACTCTTTGATGTTCCCGTGTCCATCTCACACTATGCAAAAACTCAATGCACATAAAAAGGCCCCAAAAATCTTGAATCATTACCTGTGAATATAAAAGAAACACTTGTCTGTTTATAAATTCAAGTCTCTTCTTAAAAATCACTTACTCACCCACAACTAAATGAATACTGAATAATTGTATCTCATAAATGTTTAACCTGTGACCCAAAAAAAAAAAAAAAAAAAAAAAAAAATAGAGCAGTAGATTACAGCGATTGTAAACCAAAGGTGGAGGCTCGGACCGTTCGTCATTGTAGGAGTGCCAGCCAGTCCACCGGGCTCTTCAACACGCAAGTTATACTTTTGTATCATCAAATCACATATTACTTGGGTAGATAATTTCCAGTAGATCCTTCATGTGTTAGCTCAAATCACCGACCAGTATGGTTTAAATAAGTGACACCACTGATCAGATAGAATAGACTGGTCCGAACCCTTGATGGTCCGAACCCTTGGACTGGTCCGAACCCTTGAATGGTCCGAACCACGGACCTGGTTCAAAACGGTTTCGTTGTGCCACCACCTAGCAGGGTTATTAATAGAATTTTCAAGAGGTTGCTAGTAGAATTGCAGTAAATCAACCATTCAAAAGACTCATTATGAAGCTGTGTGTAGTCTGTGGGTCAGTCAAACAAACGGGCTTCCACATGCATATATTGTCATTTCTGTGGAAATGGTGTTCACGCCCCCTTGTGCAGATATCCAAAGAATAGCTACAAGCAGTTTTAAAAACAGGGATAAAGTGTTTTTGTGTATGGCCAAATGACGATAAATTGTGGACTAAAATACAAGGGTATTAAAAAGAGGTCAACATCAAAGTGCTTTCTTAGAAAACCTGGAAGCTTTCTACAACAGATGGGAACATAAAAAGTCCGGGCTGAATGGTACTGCCCTTGATACTGGCCATGTAGTCAGAAAACTGTAGCTGGAGATGATGTCTGTAGTAAATGGGGGGCTGATAGTGCTGTCCTGGGAGACAGTAATGGGGAAGTGGAGGTGCTGTCGCTGGGAGACAGTAATGGTTGAAGCTGGAGATGCTGTCCTGGGAGACAGTAATGGGGAAGCTGGAGATGCTGTCCTGGGAGTCAGTAATGGTGAAGCTGGAGATTTTGTCCAGGTAGTCGGAATTATACGCAGGATAGGAATAATATGAATGCTCATAGGGGGACAG